TTTCCTAAAAGCCGTAATTTGGTATAGAATTAGGGCCTCAATTTATTATTTCTGGAGAAACTTTTAAATGATTTAAAGGGACAATCCATTGCCCAAATACAAAATAAATAAAATAATTACTATTTAGCAGATATATCCAGAATGAGAACTTGAATTTTTTATGCGAAATATCAAATATTACAGGTTCTTAGAATGACAAGTTGTATTTCTTAAACTGTGTACTTTGTCTTTAAGAGACTTTTCAAACTGCCACGTTGTTAGAAATGGAACATATTGATTTTCATACAATAAATGACCTCTTACCCAGATGCATAGCATAAGATAGTTGACTTTAAAATGTCATCTTATCCTAGGTTAGTGTGACGCCAAGTCAGGGCATTGTATACGTCATGCTTAACCTTAAGATTTAGTCCCATCATAGATTAGGATGTCTACGTCATGACAATAGATTAAGATGTTTCCATGTGAAATGACCAAGTCAATGCGATGTAATTTAACCCCTTAAGGACACATGACGGAAATATTCCTTCATGATTCCCTTTTATTCCAGAAGTTGTGTCCTTAAGAGGTTAATGGTCGAGCTAAGATAGATAAGGTTTGTTTTTTTATTTTCCTAATCTCCTAATTGACAATCTATGGTGTACATATTTATGCTTATTAATATTAGACACAAGGAGAGGAGAATTGATGCTGAGGCTTCTTACAAGACTGAGAGGTTGACATGCTCAAACGGGTATGTTATTCTATTTTACTGATATGGCAAGCATTTACATATAAACTCTGCTGCATATTCTTATAATGCATTATTAAGTTTTTATATGTCTGAAAACAGCTTATAAAACGTGCAGTTCTCTTGTCTGATGTTTTAAAAAACCCTTCCCTTATAACCCCGCACAGATTTTCAGTGGTTGTCCAATCACAGACTTCATAATGCTGGGGAGAAGTATATGGAAGGCAGGAGCTCTGAGAAACGTCTTGCCCCTTGAGTTTAGCTCCACTGAGCTAAGCAAATCAGGAAGTAACAGGACCGGGTGTCTGTTTGAAAGCCAGGGGGGGTGTGACCGGCTAATTTTTAAAAAAAGTGTCAATTTCTATTGAAATCTGCACTTTTTGCTAAATAAAACAGATAGGACACACTCTTCAAACAAAAAGCTTTTCAGCAAGCTAAACTGCTTTAGGGCTCGGGAATGTCCCTTAAATTTTTTTGAAAAATATTTTTATATTTTAAACGTTTGTATATATTAGTATCATTTGTACATATAGCATATTTTTTGACATTGCAATATTTAGATTTTTTAGAAGTACATCCACAAACAGTAAATGATTTGTAAAGCTTATCAAAAAATATAAAATTGAGGCCTATGTTTCATGTATAACAGTCAATTGTCTACCCTGCTCAAATGATTTGCTTTAGGATGGCACTAAATTTGATGGTTGTGGTGAAACCAACCTCGCCACTGTACACTGGAGAAGCCTGGTTGCTCGCGTGCTCCCTTTAGACTATGGCCCTGCAGTTCATAGTCCCCTGCTGAAAGGTTTATTCATGCCTTTCTGCCAGGGTGTTCGGTAGATTCAATCTACCGAACAAACTACCGAACGATGGACCACCTGGGAACTGGAGTGTGCCGTCAATTGACCGCCCAGAAGCTGCGGTTAACCGCAGCTTAATTGATGAACGCTGGGAGGCCTTTGTTCGGTTGCAGAACACGTGGCAGCTGCCATTTTACCTCCCGAACGGCCAGCGGTGTTCAGCGCCTAAACTATGGAACTGAAAACGGACACTTAATTGCGCGAACACCGCTGAGCCCCCAGCCTCCTTCCCTTCCCATTCGAGAGCGGAACCGAATGACTGTTCATTCGGTAGTTTAACCGGATGAACAGCATCACCCAGATAGCTAAGCCATGGAGCCTGTTCATGTAACGAAAAGACTATGTGAAGGACTTTGGCTCCATGGCGATTGAACTGTATGTATGTGATCTGAGCGCCATTCGGTAATAATGTGCGCTCAGATCTGAGCTATCTGGGGATATGTAGAACGTATATGTTTTATGTACTGAATGTAACTGTAGGTAATTTTATGTCTTTTACTGTTTGTTTTCTGCCATGTGGTTAATGGAGTTTTGCCTCTGTCTTTGGAGATAATTGAATTACTTCCCAATTATCTCCAGAGCAGAGAGGAGGGATTGTGATGCATTGTGGGATGGTTGAAATGTGTAAGTCTGTGATTGGTCCTTTTACCCTTTGTGTCTCAGTCTCCCATTTGGTCTCCTAGGGGAGTGTCCACCAAGTGGGAGACCTGCATAAAAAGCCAGGCAGTTAGCCCCAGTAAATGTGTTCCTGCTTAACCCTCAAAGTGAAGTGTTGTCTCATTATTGGGGGGAGGATTTACTGTATGCTGTTAGAGACTGATTGCCAGGAGTGTAAGCCGCTTGGGGGCTTTTCCTGTTCATCTGCTAGCAGCTATTCGTGTGTCTCCAGTTCGGGAGTTTGGAGTGCTACTTGGTATGCAGTTCGGGAGTTTCGAGTATTCCCTTGGTTGCAGTTCGGGAGTTGGTGAATTCGTGGGTTTGCAGTTCGGGAGATTATTGCTTACAGTAACTGTCTGTGCAGCTGAAAAAGGGGAATATCGCCTAAACAGTTTT